ATCTCTGTGCACTGAAGCAATGCTGTAAAGATGACTGGCCAACATTCCTCCACGATGATGTGAGACTGATAAAGGCATAAAGAAAGATTATTACTTCGAGTTCTTCCACAAGCTGTTGTTAATTTTAGAGTCTGCTCAGATGATTGTTTATGTCCTCATACATAAAACCTTAGAACTGAAAGAGGGTTTTTTTTTCCCAACCATAGCCGTTGCAGTTGTTCTTACATCTGATAAATAAAGTCACATGAACAATTCATTTCTGTAAACCTTAACTTTAATATGAGAGAGAACAATGGGTCCTCTTTAACTCTGAAGAAGTGAGCTGGGGTAAGACTTTACGACCCACAGCAGTAATTATAAACCTGAAATCATAGGATTCTGGAATTCAGCTACTTTGGTCACAATCTTCTAGATTCATGATTCATGTTAACAGTAACGTTTCAATCAATTAACTCTTAGTTTTGATTAAATTCATGGAAATGCATGTTTTATTTACAGAGCTGTCACTTTGTTTTGCTGAAAGTTGTCAGAAAATTAACTTTTTTTAAATTCTTCTTCAAAAAATAATCATTAGTTCACTCCCGGGATAAATTTCATTTGTTCCAGGATAAATGAAATTTCACTCTGGCACAAAATCTTTAGAAATATCTTGATGAAGAACTCAACTATCACTAAAGTGACAGCCCCACCACACAGCTCTTACTGATGTTAACAACATGTGGATTAGTAGTCTGTAAAATATTGATTTACTAAATGTTTATTGTGTTGACAGTGGAATGAATCTGTTACTAGTCATGGGTCTTTGGAAAGTGAAGTTATTTATTAGCCACTATCAGATTTCAGGAGCTTTGACGATCAAAGAAAAGGCTTTCTCTGTTCATGACCCAGCGTTTGCTGTGCTCGTCCTCTTATCACGGCAAAGATAAGGAGCCACTCTGATAAATATTGCTTGATTACCATCTTTTCAAGGATAAAGTTTATTTTCTGACTTATTAAAGTGCAGGTCAAACTTCTGTCCAAAGACCCATGACGTCCTCATTTAATGATGCCCCTCCTCTTTCCTCACTGTATCTCTGCATGGCTTGTCAATTGCAGCAATATCACGTCTTCACATATTTTAACAGCCACTTGATCTTTTGTGCATTTAACAAATCTTCTGCTTTGACTCAGCGGGCTTGTCTGTCAACTCTGCTTTCCATCTCTCTTTCGTCCTCTTTGCTTCCCCGGATTGGCTTTGATAACCTGCTGCTGCCACTAAAAGCCCGTAGTCCTCTCGAGAACTCTGTGACTTGCCTGTCAGGTCGCATCTCAATGGAGGACTTGCAGACCCAAAGGAGTACCAGTATGGACTGGCTCAGTAAGTTCACTGACATTCACACTGCAGACCCATGGTGAGCTTCCATTTGGCGACAAAGAAATGAAGACCAGAGAGTTCAAATTTAGTCCCAAACTGAGGCTTTTTTAAAAATACAGACAGCGGATCGTAAAGTTGTGTCCGAGTGCATCTTTGTGACCTGCAGCTTGAATGTAGTCACGACTAGCTTGAAATTTCACTAGATGCTAGTACTTGATGGTGAATAATCCCTGTCAGCTCAGGTTGTTTTTAAAGAATATTTTCTCGCACCTATACTCTACTATGTGAATGAACAATTTCCATCACGCGACTATTAAAAAAGATTATCTGGCTGCATCATACTGACATGCACGTTATTACCCACAGTGCCAAAGGTGCAGATGCATGAAAGGCTGCAGTGGCACCAGATTGTTGCATTCTTTGATCTCTGGACTGAAGCCTGTTCTGCTGTCACATTTCAGGATCATCTTCTACTTATTTTGTGTCTGCACCCATTAAGTCCATCCACAGAGTAAGGCTTTAAATGTGACAGTAAGAATGATGACACTAGATCTCATTATTATCAAAGCACAACAAGCTGATTGAACCTCAAGAAAGATGCATTAATAATGGTAATTTTATTCTTCGTTTCTGACCTCCTGTCTTTTTTTATTTGAAATTCAAAGTAAAAAGTTGATATTTGATCTGATCACACATTTTATACCCGACGGGTTAGACCTAAATATCGGCCAGTTACTTTATCACAGACAATAGCTTTTGTCCTACAGCTTGCACGAGTATTTCTGTTGGATTTTTTCTTCTTTTGCAAAGCATGTAAGGAGCTAATTGTCTGGGCCACTTTGGGTTTCTGCCTCTTTTCCTCTTGAGTCTTAGACCACAGTGGGGGTGAAGCTGGTCTAACTAGTCAATGTTGCCCTGTCTGAACAGATAGTCCCACCACAACTCCCAGGAACTTGACATCCACCAGCCTGAATGACGTCTCTGACAAACCGGAGAAAGACCAGGTAAGTTGCCCTCATGCATCTGCTGTTCTGTTTCTGGACACCAACCCTCACCAATCCATCAGACTCGGTGGTGAGAGGTTTATATTTCCTGGAAAATGAAGGGGATGGATCTCTGTATTCCCAAGTTCCCAGTTTAAGGTGGTGTAGATGTAACAATACGCTTGATGGCCTTTTATTCTGAAACAGATATAATGAACCAGCTTGTCTGCTTTCTCGAGCTTGAGGCTAAAAACAAGCTAGTGCACTGGCAGAAGAGATGAGAAAAGCCTGACTAGACTCCATGGCAGAGCTGCATGGTGTAGGCTGGATGTAACAGAGCTGAGGAGGCCAGTCGAAGTATTTCATGGTTGTTGCTTCACAGCAGAGATAACATTGTCTAAAGTGCATTGTTCCAGCTCCTGGTATCATCATCCAGCCTGCTGTAGCTGCTCTGAACCTGCCTGAACCTCCCCCGCCTTTTCCTTTGATGGTTAAAGTGGAAATTTTTGTAGCAACTTCAGACTGCAGTGAGGCTCAGGCTGTGGCTGATAAAGGATGATGTCATTAACAGCAAAGAGAGACTGAATTTCCTCTGCAGCCTTACAGTCGACAGCAGCGGTCCCCAACCCCCGGGCCTCGGACCAGTACTGGCCCGTGAGTCGTTTGGCACCGGGCCGCGAGAGTTGAGGCTCGGGTGTGAAATTGATGGTTTTCAGGGTTTTTATTGGTTTTTAGTGTTATTGTTTTTATCGTTGACTCAGTTTCCCTGGGTCTTTTCCCACGTGTTATGAATAAATCTTCTTTTTTTGGTACTGGTTTTATTTTGTTGTATTTATCTGCGACACCTTAAAGGGTGGTCCATGAAAATACTGTTGGCCATAAACCGGTCTGTGGTGCAAAAAAGGTTGGGGACTGCTAGTCTACTGCGCCATTAACCCGTGTTTGATTTCTCATTTTTTTGCGTATTTGCCACACCTACTGTTTTAGTTCAAACTAATTTTAATATTAGACAAAGATTACCCGAGTAAATACAAAATGCAGTTTTCAAATTATGGTTTAATTTGTTAAGGGGACAAAAAAAGACAAAAAAAAAATGTTCCTACCAGCCCTCGGTGAAGAAGTAACTGTGCCACCCTTGGCAGCAAGAAGTGCAGTCGGGTGTTTGTGATAACTGTCCGTGAGGCTTTCATGTGATTGTGGAGAAACTTTGGCAGAATCTTTTTTGCAGAATAGTTTTCATTCAGCTACAGCTGGGGGATTTGTAAAAATAGACGGCCTGTTAAAGGCACACCAGAGCATCTCGGGCTTTGAGGAGTCTTCACCAAACCCTTTATTTGTCTTTTGAGCCATTCTGAGGTGGAGTTGCTGGTGTGCTTCAGATTATTGTCCTGCTGCAAAACCCAAGTGCACTTGAACAAAACTCATGGCTTGACATCCTCCTTCAGGATTTTCTGGTAGAAAACAGAATTCATGGTTGCATCAATCACAGCAAGTCTTCCAGGTCCTGAAGCAGCAAAGCGAACACACTATCACCACGATGTTTGACTGTTGGTGTGATTTTCTTTTCATGAAATGCTGAAGTAGTTTCACAGCAGATATAACAGGTCTGAAACCTTTTGTTTCATCGATCCACAGAATATTTTCTTAAAAGTCTTGGGGATCATCAAGATGTTGTTTGGCAAATCTGAGCTATGTCTTTGTATTGTGTTTGGTCTGCGGTGTTTTTCTCTTTGGATTCTCCCATTTTTACTCAGTGTCTTTCTTATTGTTGAGTCAGATGAGTCATTGTTGGGCTCTTGGAGTAATTTTTGTAGGCTCGCCACTCCTGGAAAGGTTCACAACAGTTTCATTTTTTCCATTTATTTTTTCAATAATGGCTCCTACTGTGTTTCACTGAAGTTCCTCATAAATGGCTTTGCAACCCTTTCTAGACTGATAGAGACAGCTGTAGATCGTGGCATGATGTGTTTCATTTTGAGATTGTTTAGCCTACTTTACTTTGTCTTGTTTAGCAGGAATCAGTGACATTTGTTACTGAGTCTAGAGGAATGATTCGGATGAGCCCCCAGTTCATGTTACAACCCGTCTTGGGACCAGGTCATAGCATGGATGAGCCACTCGCTCCCCCACTTCCTCAACTGTTACGGAGCACTGCACCCGGCGGCTGTCACAGGCGTGGCTGCTCAGGCGTTAGGGGAAGCACGAGAACCTCTCTTGCCGGCGGTGCTCCAGGCTATATTTATAAGACGGGTCCTCCAGCTGGAACCAGTCATTCCGGAGCCATACTTCCACGCACCAATCGCAGCAGGGATTTACCATAACACAGTGAGCTGTTCAGACAGAAACAAACACACACGACAGGTGTCGTAACCCAGGTTTTAAAAAATAGGGTTCATCATGAATTACGTGGAGGGGGCAATGACTTTTTCACAAGGGCAGGTGGATAGTTTGGATTTTTTTCTTCCCTTAGTGAATGAAATCATCATTTAAAAACTGCAGTTTGTATTCACTCGGGTTATCTTTGTCTGATATTAAAATTTCTTTGATGTGAAACATTTAAGTGCGAAAAACAACGGGAATGGGACAAATACTTGGCACTGTTGCTATATTTAGATCATCTAACACACCCACAGGACATAACACAGTCAATTTTTTCCTCTGGGTTTTTGTCAGAGGCTTCCACACACTTGAGACACACTTCTCCTTTGCCCTCACGCCATCTTATCCTTACTGCTTGTATGCCAACATGTGAAGTAGCATCTGCAAAGGTTGTGTATTACCAAAGTGTAGCTCCTGGAATATTTCTCATGTAGTCTACCTGTGTGAGCCAGAAATGTGACATGTAAACACTTCTGACTGGATAAATGCAAAAAAATTGTAGCTGTGCTAATTACTAAAACGAACAAATTATTTTATTTTCCAGACTGAGTAGATTTAACAAAGTCAGATTAATCTAAACTAATCAGTGAGTTACTTTCTCATGAAAATATCCAACCTAGTATCACGGCAAGATGGAGAATAGACACGCCAGTCAACCATGTCCAAAACATGAAATAGCATGCAGAAATTGCTTTACCACCAGGGGGCGCTAATATATTTAAAGCCATGAGGTGAAGATCTACAGAAGCTCCAAAAAA